TCCTCCAGAGTTTGTGTCAAATGCAATACTCCTGTGCACACCAGTTGCTGGGGAGCATGGGTGTGGGGGCTGCCACACTCCCTTCCTGCATCCAGGTTCCTTGGGCAGCAGGTGGTTTCTCTGAGAGCAGAAGGCTGAGCTGGGTGGCCCTGTGGCCTGATCCTGCATCAGCGCTCTTCGCCGTACTGATGACAGAGCCCGGCACCCTTGTGCAGGACAGAAATGGCCTCTCTGATTCTGCCTTCCAGCCTTCCTGCTCCTGATTGTCTCGCTGGGATGTGCCTGCAAGTGAAGAATTGTCACCCCACTTCTCTCAAGCACCCCCTTCTGGAGTGGTTAAGCTGATGGGGGAGTGGGAAGAGCGGAACCTTGCCAGGAACCCCCATTTCCCCCTCCCAGTATCCCCTTCTGCCCATCTCCCACCTTCATCCCACACTCACCGCCACCATGCTCATAGTGGGAGTTTGTGGCCTGCAGGCTCTTTCTGAAAAACACTTCATTGTCCCTCGCTACCACAGTCTCTTTCTCCCAGTACGTAGGGTAATTCTCTGTGACCTTCTGCATCCAGGGCACCAGAGGCTCCTGCCTCCGTGTGTTGCTGTTGTAGCGAGTGATGGGCCGGTCATCCAGGAAGACCACAACGAAGAACTGGGGCTGCCTCAGACTCAGACACCATGGTGTAAATATAGTGCAGGCTGTGGGATGAAGACCCTGGAAAAGGCACAGAGATGGGGCAGAGTTAGAGTTTCTATTTCAACCCCACCCCCTTAGTCACAATGGGTCTCAGGGCAGGATACAAAGCATGTTATAAAACAACAAATAAATGATATTTACTTAAGAAACAAGCATCCTGAGAACATCTACAATAAATCATCTCAAAGACCTCCCTATAACCTGATTTCTTAACCACTAAAACCATAAAAGGTGCAATAGGATAAAAAAATAAACAGTCGCTATAAAATTGATAAAATTGTCTTTAGAGATCTTTTACCAATTAAAATATCTAGTGAATAAAAATGTGTTCACCTAGTGCCAAAAAGACTAAAGTGAAAATTCCAGGCAAACCTCTTTGGGTAACTGATTCCAAAGTTGGGGTGCCACTGCTGAGAAGGCCCTTCTCCTTGTTACCCCTTTCCTTGTCTCCTTCAAAGCACCTCCCTAAGGACTCTGAAGATGACCTGAACAGCCCAGGAAGGCACATACAGAAGGAGGCATGCCTTTAAATGTCCTGGCCTCAAGCAGTTGAGGACTTTAAATATCAATGTCACCACTTTGGATTGGGCCTCGATTTCAGTGGTGTAACGAAGTGGTTGTCAATGTTTTTACAGCTGGGGACTGGAAAAAATAGGAAAATTATTTCAGGGACTGCTGAGGCAGAAATAAAATTAAAAGAATCACATGCATAATATAGTATTTTGTGTATTAGTTTTTAAATATAATGCCAAAAATGAAAAGTCTCTAAAATAACCAGAATTCCGGCAGTAAAAATCCTAATAGAAATAAAATAGTGAAAATAAATGTTAAATGTAGAAATTAAATTAAATGTAGAAATATAAACAACTTCAGATATGCAGATGATGCCACTCTAATGGCAGAAAGTGAAGAGGAACTAAAGATCCTTTGAAGCGGGTGAAGGAGGAGAGTGCAAAAGTTGGCTTGAAGCTCAACATTAAGAAAACTAAGATCATGGCATCCGGTCCTCTCACTTCCTGGCAAATAGATGGGGAAGAAATGGAGGTGGTGACAGATTTTATTTTCCTGGGCTCCAAGATCACCACAGACAGGGTCTGCAGCCAGGAAATTAAAAGACGCTTGCTCCTGGGGAGGAAAGCTATCGCAAATCTAGACAGCATACTAAATAGCAGAGACATCACCCTGCCAACAACAGTGCGTACAGTCAAGGCTATGGTTTTCCCAGTTGCAAAGTATGGCTGTGAATTCTCGACCATGAGGATGGCTGAATGCAAAAGGATTGAGGCCTTTGAATTGTGGTGCTGGAGGAGACTTCTGAGAGTCCCTTGGACAGCAAGGTGATCAAACCATTCCTTCCTAGAGGAGATCAATCCTGACTGCTCTTTAGAAGATACTGAAGATGAAACTCAAATATTTTTGCCACCTAATGAGGAGGAAGGACTCCCTGGACAAGAGACTGATGCTGGGAACAAGAGATGACAAAAGAAGAAGGGGATGGCAGAAAATGAGGTGGCTGGATGGAGTCACTGAAGCAGTTGGTGTGAGCTTGAGTGCACTCCGGGGGATGGTGGAGGACAGGAAGGCCTGGAGGAATATTGACCATGGGTTTGCAATGGGTCAGACACGACTTCGCAACTAACAACAACTCTGGTGCACTTTCTAGTGCCATGACCCTGAGTTCCTGCCCAGCACTTGCAGGCAGATCCCCAGGAATGGAGCCCAGTACTTCCACTGTTGATAAAGCTTCACTCTTCTTTGCTCTGCCCAGTTACGCAGGCTTACTTTCATGAGTGTTGTCAAACTTCCTCTGAGCTTGGCCTATTTTCCAAGACTGGCCAAGCCAGAGCAGAAACACTTAGATGCTAATAGGGAAGATTCTACCATACTTCCACCGAATCCTATACCACTTGAGTTATTCTGCCCGGAGAGGATGGAAAGGACCATGTTGACCAGGTTGGGAAACCTACAGGGCTATCAATTGAAACGATGAGGAAATATGCAGAGAGCCACAGCTGGGATATCAATAGATGTTCCTGATCTGGGTTCTTTTGCAGGTGGGTCTCCAATAGAGGTTTTTCCTAGCTCCCTTTTACCAAACCTTCTGATGAAAAAGATGCATCCTCATCAAAGAGGAACAACGTGTTTTCCTTCCTCCATGCAACTGTGCCTTGAGACACATAATGGGTCCAGCAGCAGAGAGGCTATATCACTCCCATCGGATGATCAATATCAGAGTGACTAATGTTGATTCCACCCAATGCTATGGAGACCTTCTTGAAATTCTCTTGAGACAGAGAAACCAAATGGCAAAATCAAGGGCAATGTGAGGAGTCCCCATGGCCTCGCTTGAGAAACAGGCCGCGTGGAAAACCTGCAGTGCTCCTGAGGGCCTGGGGTGAGGCTCAGGGCAGCCTGCGAGATGCAGGGACTGTGCCCAGGTAAAGTTCAGAAAAGCCCCCTTTGGCTCAGATGTGAGTACATCTGTTGGACTGCAGGGTCAGAGCTCTCTGGTGGAACTGGATGTGTGAGTGAGAAGAGCAGGCACAAGGGGCATGTGCGAATTGAGCCAAACTATCCAGTGTTGGTGCTCCTGCTGCTTCTAATGCTGCCTCCTGCAGTTTCTGAGATGCAGAAGACAACTTGTAATGGAAATATGTTGGTTGAAGGGGCATCCAACTATTATCATCCAGGAGAATACCTTATCACTGGAGTTGTCTCTTCACAATATTTTGAGTACCACCAACCCTATGTCTTTTCTGAGTCACCAGGCAAGCAGAAGGAGAGGTGAGTCATGTGGTTTCAGTGCTCCCCATCCTGCACTCCGGTTGTGCCTCTCTTCTGGAGGCAGCCCATCGTTCTGGTCCCTGGTTACCCCCTCAGAATTTCTGCTCTGTATTTTGCCCTCTTATGCTTTCTGAAGGAAGAATGGGAGCATGCAGAACAGCCAGTTCACATCTGGCTGTACACTGCTTTCTATCTTAGGCAGAAGCATCTGCTTGCTTTAACCAAGGTGGCAACATACAGACTGGAGTCAAGGGGGCCCTTCCTTGGGGTTGCTCGAATCATCTCATGGCTCCCCTTGCCACCCTTATATTGCTGCATTTCACAGCAGAAAATAATTGGGATTTCTCTTAGTTTCAGCACTTCCTTAGAAGGTAGCACAACATGCATTGCAGACCATCTGGGGAGTGGTCAGGGACTGTGAATGTAAAGCATCCTCGGCATGAGGACGGGGGTGTTTCCTTCAAGTTTTTCCACTTGGCATCTTGGGGAGGGGAGGACAGGAGATCGTGCTTCCCAAGTGCTTCCCTGACATATCTTGCTGGACATGATCACCCAGATGACTGTTCCCTCTCTGCCACTCCCATGCTATTGTTGAGGACATCAAATAATTCTGCTGGGGAGGAAATGAATGTCAAAGTCTCTCTGCTTCTTGGGAGAAAGGCAGGTTCTTTCCTCTACACTTTTGTGGAGCAGTAGTTAGAGACAGCTGTGTGTAATGGTGAGCTTTTAGGTGCAAAGGAGTTTTCTGGGAGTTCTCTAACCTTCAGCATCCCAAGAAGACATGTACACAGTAGTGAACCGGGGGCCAGTGGGACTCCCAAAGGCAGGAAGGAGGATCATAAAACCTCTCCATTTGCATGACCAGGAAGGGATGTTCCTATGATCCTGCCTCTGATGGGGATGTGTGAACAATCCATCAGGGAGAATAAATCCATCACATTCCTCAGGCCCATCTCTCCAGACTCCAGTTTACTTTGTTCCTGGTGCCAGTTTCAGCAGTGGGCATGGGAGAATGGCACTGATTATGAAAAATGTGTGGCTAAATTCCCACACATGCTGAGTGTGCTCATCAGGAACTTGGACTCTGGGCTGATGTGAAGTGATATTGAATCTGGGAAGCCCAAAGCAGGAAATCCAACAGTTTTTCTATTCATTCCTAGCTGTGGCTGCACCTGCTGCAATTGAATGCCAGCATTTAAGTGCATGCTGTGTGAATGATGTGGTGGTGCAGTGGCTTAATGGCCCTGGAACTGCTGATCAGAAATGGTTAGCAATCCAGTGGTTCGAGCCCAGTGTTGCTGGATGGAGTTAGTGCCCATCATTCTCATATAGTTGCTGCCCTCCTAGCAGTTCCAAAACGTATCACCTGCAAATAGATAAATAGAGACCTGGGGGAAAAACTTCTGGCTTTTTTCATGATGAGAGCAAGCACTGGCACTGGATCTGCCTAGGCGTGCTTGGAAGAGGATTATTGGGGAAATGCACTGGATGAACAGATTTCGGCAAGAATGTCTCTGGCCAACTTGTGCTTAGCTATTTCACTTCCTCTGGCACCCCAGCACAAAAAAATGCTAGCAAGTACAGAGTCCAGAACATCTACTGTGTGTTAAACACTGTAGACTGCCTTGCAAGATGTGTCAGATGATAGAGAGAGAGAGAGAGAGAGAGAGGGGGAAGGAAGGAAGGAAGGAAGGAAGGAAGGAAGGAAGGAAGGAAGGA